TGTTGTTTTGCTTTCATGGGATCTGCTAACTGCGCAAAAATCGCTGTGGATGCGGAGGGAACAAACGAATTGTGAACAGGAGTGTTTGATGGGTTCTGTGGCCACGAAACCATGCTATTCAGTTGTTTGACAAGTTTTTCGGTCAGGGCTGACACCGAACATTGCTATTCACAGGTGTTTTGAGTTTTTTGGGTTTCAGGGCGTCCGGTATAGTTTCGTGGCGAGGATATCTTCCGATCTTCCGAAAACAAAAATAGCAAGACAACAAATATGAATAGCAGTATCTGGTGGCATCACCGACCAACAGAACCCCAAACACCTGTGAACAGCATGGTTTCGTGGCCGTGCAGCTGCTGTTGCTGCTGTTGTTCCTATTCCTTCTCCTCCTATTCCTCCTCCGCCTGTTCTTCCTCCTTCTGCTCCTGACTCCCCCTTCCTCCTCCGCCTTCTCTTCCTCCTCCCGCGTTCCCCCCATTCCTCCTCCGCCTGGTTCTCCTCCTCCTCCTCCTCCTCCTCCTCCTGCCTCTGACCCCTCGGTGCTCGCCTCCTCCTCCTCCTCCTCCTCCTCCTCCTCCTTCTCCTCCTCCTCCTCCTCCTCCTCCCCTTTTCTTCCTTATGCCGATCTATTGCACGCGTTGTGTGAATCGCTGCAGCGCGTTCGCCTCGCCATTGCCCCCTGTTTCCAATGCATCATCGATTGCCTCCTCGCCGCGCTTCCGCGCCTTCCTGGCTCCCATCCTCTTCTAACGGGAAAAAAAAGGTCACAGATGCGTGCAGGCGAGGTGTGCAAGTGCGCTTGTCTACGTGTCAAGTACGCTGATGGCCCGTTTCCCCTCAGCAGTGCCTCGCATGTGCATGTGCTGTTATTGCGTTTGCGATGTCCGCCCCAACGCGGGCATCCTAGAAGCCTGATTCCCGCTTTACGCACAAGACAAACACTTGTTTATCCAGTGTTCTGCATTAAGTTTGCATTGCCGCTGCATGTAGCTGTTTCTCGTTGGTTAGATGTTGCGTGTCGCCCTGCCGTGTTGCGCTGCTTCTGCTCGGAGTCGCCTAGGGGCCGCCTTGGAGGCCTCTCGGGTCGTCTAGGAGCGGTCGTGGAGGCTCCTTGGGCCGTCTTGGTGCGGTCTTGCCGGGGGGGGGGATTCGTCGGCCGTCTCGGGGCTCCTTGGAAGAGGCATTGGAACCAGGATGCCCCCCATCGCGTTCGTTAGATCCGGCCCCAGCGGTTGTCTTTTGGGGTCTGCACTTGCTGTAGTTTTGCAACCGGATTTGGCATTGGCGGCGGCAGCCAGCCCACTGTCGCCAAAGCACCCGTGTGCTCCTCCGAGTCTTCTTCGCGAGCTCGACGCATGTCTCCCGCTGCGCGACCGTGGCCAGAGAGATGCATCGGCATTCTCCGACAAGAGGTCGTTGTACTTAGCCTGCCACTTCGGAGAAGGGCGCTTGACTTCGGAGGGGGGAGACACTGAAGGCCGACGGACTTTGCCACTCCCTCCCAGAAGCGCGCCTGGGCGAGCGCCGAAGTTCGTCGGTCTTCAGAGGTTCAGTTCGTTCAGTTGTTCGAAGTTCCAAAGCCAATCCTTCTTCTCAGGAAGTTCTTGCCGAAGGCGCTCGCGCTCCCTCGCCCCCTCCCTTGTGGCCGCGGCGCGCCCGCCGCCTCGCCCTGGGTTCTGGCCTTCTGCGCCCGCTGCCTTTTTTTTGTTCGGCGAGGCGCTGGAGGAGTGCGAGCGGGGCAAGCGCTGGCCCGCTGGGGAGACCGCTCCCGAGGGGTCGCGCGGACGACCTCCAAGAAGCCCGAAGACACCCCTCGCAGGAAGTGTTTTTCTCAAGCGCTCGTTTTCTGGTTTTCTAGACGGCCAGCCTCGCTTCCTTCAGGCGCGTCGCCGTGCCTCAGGCGCGCCGTTTCCCCGACCAGGTGCTCCACCTTGTCGTTCTTGCTCTTGGCCTCCTGGAAAGACTTCTGGTTGTTCTCGGCTGCGCGCTGGGTGTAGTTTCTGTTGTGCGTTATTGCTGCTAGTGTTGTTGCTGTTGTTAGATGGTGTGGTTGTTGAATGTTGTGGTTGGGCTGTTGCGCGATGATGATGGTTTGCAGCTGTCGTGCGGTGGTGGTGGTGCGGTGTACTCGGCGGTGCAACGTCGTTGTTCGCCTTTTGCTTGGCTGTGGCCATGCGCATAGAAGAGAAGGAAGCGCGTTCAAGTTCACCCCGGCGCCTGGGTCACGAAGACGTCGCGACGCATGTGGAACAAGTCCTTGCGCTGGCGCTCGGCTTGTTGAGCGAGGGCGGCCTTCTTGCGCCGCAAGGCTGCGCGCGTGTCGTGGTATGTCCGCAAGTGCTTCTGCGCGGCCTCCTTGAGGTGCCGCTTGACCCGCGGCTTGACGGCCCAAGTCGTCAAAGATTTGGTGCGCTTGCGATCGCGACGCGTGCCATATTTAAGTCTCGATGGCGTTATTTGATGAAGCTAGCATGGCGCGCTGCGGCGCCAACGCTGGTGAGGGAAGTGGCCAACACGCAACAAGCACTCGATTCAGAGCTTGCAACGGATGGGTGAACCCAATTAGGCTGAGGCGGAGGAAGGAGAGGAATATGAGGATGAGGAGGCGGACAAGGACAGGGAAGGGGGGAGGAGGAGGGGGAGGAGGAGGAGGAGGAGGAGGAGAAGGAGGAGAGAGGAGGAGGAGGAGGAGGAGGAGGAGGAGGAGGAGGAAGAGGAGGAGTAGGAGGAGGAGGAGGAGAAGGAGGAGGAGGAGGAGGAGCTGGAGGAGCAGGAGACGGATCATCAGAGTGATCGCTCGGAGTGGGGACCATTGGAGTGCAACTGGCTGGCTTTCAATCGATTGGTTTGCGATCCATGTGATTGCAATTGATTGGGTTGCAATCGATTGCGTTGCAATCGATTTGTTCTAAATCGGTTGGGTTGCAATCCATTGGCCTGCTATCAGAACGAGGCGGATGCCCTCCCAGCCAATCGGCGAGGAGGTTGAGGCGGAGGAGGAAGAGGAGGATGAGGGTGAAACGGACGAGTGAAAGGAGGAGGGAGGCGGATGTGGGGTAGGAGAAGGAGGAGGAGGGAGAGTAGGACGACGATGAGGAGGCGAAGGACGAGGAAAAGGAGAGGGAGAAGGATGGGTAGGAGGAGCAGGAAGAGGACGATGAGGAGGAGGAGGAGGAGGAGGAGGAGGAGGAGGAGGAGGAGGAGGAGGAGGAGGATCATCGGAGCGATCGTTCGCTGAGGGCGGGCTGAGCATAATACATGTATATATATATATATACATAGGTATATCTAGATACATCTATGTGTGTGTGGTGTGTGTGTGTGTGCGTTCGTGCGTTCGTGCGTTCGTGCGTGCGTGCGTGTGTGTGTGTGTGTGTGTTCACGACGTGAGCCTGTTTGGACAGAGGCTTGGAGGCCGAAGTTGGGCCAAATACGCAAACTTTGCTCGACCATCACTCCTTGATCGCAGAACTTTTAGAGCCCCGCGCGGATTTCTTGGATCGGCGCTGGACCCCCCCCGTCGCGCGCGGAGCGCGCCAGTGATGGCGCCAGAGGCGTTTTCGAGCATGCGTTGCACAACTATTTGCTTTGGAAGCTCCGCGCGTATTGATTGCGTTGGCGCCGACCCTAGGAATCCGCTCAGAGCTACGACAAGTTATGTTTATGCTGTTGTTTCTTCTTCGACTCGAGGCTGAGGAACGGCCCGAGACGCACAGGGAGCCCCAGGGGCGCGAAGATAACCGCGTTTGGCGCGTTGCGCTCCAGGCCAGAGCGGCTGCCCCTGCGGCGCGAGGGCGCGAAGGTTCGAAGAGAACCGCACGTCGCGCACCGCTGGGCGCGACGCGCGAACTCAGGTGACCTAAAAGACGCACAGGAATCCCTACCTTCGAGCCCCGAAGCCTCCCCGACGTGTCCGCGTGGATTTTTGGATCGACGCTGGACCTCCAACAGTTTATGTTTATGTCTTCTTATGTACGGTCGGACCGAGGTATAACATTGAGATTGGTTCGGGGAGGGTACCCTACTGTTCTTCGTGCTTGTCGGGTGTTATTATGCATCCAGTGAGAGGGTACCAATCGGATGTTCTATGTGTTTTGGTCAGTGGAGGGTCTCATGTTCTTGGAGGATGTCATTCTGTCCTAGGTCCGGCAGTGTTCGGACGGGTCTAGCACGATGATAAATCCGTTTCAGAGCGTTCCGGAACGCTCTCAGGGCGTTCTGGAACTCTCTGAGAAGGCCGCGGCGCCCGAGACATCTTCCAGAGCCGCCAGATCTCAGAGATTCTCGATTCATCATCACACGATGTTGTCCTCGTCCTAGCGTCGTCTTATGTACGTTGTATTCTTTCCGCTGCTGTTCCTTCTTCCGCTCGAGGCCGAGGAGGGGCCGACGACGCCCGCTGAAACCCTGAGAACCTCGAGTTGCCCGAGGGCCCCATTTCCGAGAGGAGCCCCCCGAGTGCTAGACCCTCGAGCCCCGAGCGCCTCGCTCCTCGCCCTTCGAGCGACCGATCCCATGAAGCCCCAGAGACGGGCGCGAGCAGATTGGGGGCAGGTCAGAGGAGGAAAAGGCACCCACACCGTCATTCTTGCCTCGCTTTCGCTTTGTTGGGCCTCCTGGGAGGCCCTGGCCGCCACCGCTGGATTCGCCTCGAACTATCCAGGTCAGGACGCACCCTGGGAGAGGTCCGGGAGTGGAGTATCGGTACCTTTTGGTTTCCCTACTTCGAGCCGTAGAGACGGGTGCGCGCAGAGGGGGGTATGGGGGAGGGGGGGAGACTTCTTAGCAGGACGCGTTGCTTCTCAGACGGCGCGGGCCTCGGGTGCAGAAGATGCAGGGCTGGCGCCTTCTGAGCAGCAGGGGGGCTTCTAAGAAGCCTCCCCCCCTTCCCCATAACCCCCTCTGAGACGCCCGCAGAGACGGGCGGGACGCCCGTAGAGACGGGCCGGGCTTCGAGCCCCGAGCTCTCCCCGAGGTGTCCGCGCGCGTCCGCGCGCGCGGAGGTCGTGCGGCTCCTGTGCGCCGCGGTGGCGCACTCCTGCGTGGCGAACAGGAGCCCGCCGAGCCCTCGGGCCGCCGCCCGCTCCGCGACTGCAGGATCCGAGGGCTCCCGGATCCCCGGCGCGATGTTTTTTTTCCGTCGTTCCGCATTTTGTTGGATGGGTTTCTCAAGCCTCCTCCTCCTCCTCCTCCTCCTCCTCCTCTCCTCCTCTCCTCCTCCTCCTCCTCCTCCTCCTGCTCCTCCTCCTCCACCTCCTCCTCCTCCTCCTCCTCCTCCTCCTCCTCCTCCTCCTCCTCCTCCTCCTCCTCCTCCTCCTCGTCCACCTACATGAATGAAACGAGCTTGAATGTTTCGGCGATCCGCCTCGCCGACGTACTGAGCGAGTGCCTGCCCGAGATGCGAGCGGCGCCGCCCGTCGTGGCGGCCGAGGCCCCTGCGGCCCGCCGCCCCGCCGCCCCGCCGCCCGCTGCTGGGGTCGCGGAAGGTAGCTGCGGGCAGAGGGGAGCGAACTCTTCTTCTTATGGTCGCTCTCCTCTTGTCCTCCTCCCGGTTCCTGGTTTCTGTTGGCTGTGTGGTCTCCTGACGAAGCCGCGCCCCCCCCCAGGGCCGGCCAGCCCGGGGGGGGGTTGAGGCCAGTGAGCCATGCGACCTTCTCGGTCGAGGCTGCGGGGCCGGCGGAGCGGGGGCCGACGGAGACAGGGAGGCGAGGGGCCGGAAGGGGGAGGACGAGAGGGGCCCGAGCCGAGTGGCGAGGGAGGAAAGCGGCAGAAGGATCGGAGAGAGAGGGCCCCCCCCTCCCAAGCGCAGAGAGGCCGACGGAGCCCCCCAGAGGCAGGAAGGAAGGACGGGGGAAGAGCACGGCGGAGGGGGGAGGGGGGAAGGCAAAGGGGGGGCAAAGTGAGCCTCTCCGTGTACAGGGGGGTCCACTCCGTGCAGGCGGGCGCGCGGCGTGCCGCGGGTGCCCTCCTTTTTCCCCCAGGCTCACGGCCCTGCTCGTCCCCCGCTCCTCCAGGAGACGCTGCAATGCCGCGGGCCCTGCTCCCTCCTCCCCCGCCCCCCTCCCCCCCCGAGGGCCACTCGGTCCCCTCCCCGCTCCCCCCCCCCCGAGGGCCACTCGGTCCCCATCCCCCCCTTGTTGTGGGAGGGCGGCACGCTCGCCCTCGAGGGGGCGATGGCGATGGGGCAGCTCTGATGGGCCGATTTTCCACCCCCACTGCCATAGGTAGGAGGAGGAGGAGGAGGAGGAGGAGGAGGAGGAGGAGGAGGAGGAGGAGGAGGAGGAAATGGAACTTCCCCGTCCGACCCGACTTCTGGTGGTGGTGGTGGAAAACTGGCCCATCAAGTTCTGCTCCTGGTGGACTACCGAGCCGAAGGCGTGGTTCTCGGCGCAGTTGTCGCCGCAGCTGCGTTCGCGGCAGTGGGCGGGCCTCCTCCTCCCGTGGCTGCGCGACGAGGCTGTGCAGGCCGTGCTCGAGGGCGGCCGTATCCTCCTGCGGCTTGAGGGGCCCGCCGCAGTAGTTGAAGATGTGGTTGAGGATGTAGCTGCGCTCCGCGGGGTCCATGCGGAACTTGCTGGCGTTGGGGTTCATGGACTCGTTGTTGACGAGGTGGTTGGTTCGATCGTCCTCCGGTCGGAGTTCAATGCGGTCAGCGTCGGCGTCGGTGAAGGTGATAGCCACGATCCGCGCGGCCTCGTGGTGGGCCTCCAGTTGGCTCTCGCCTCGGTGTCGTCGGCCGTTCCCTCGACCCCAGGCCGGGCCTTGCGCTGAAGGCGGGAGCGCTGTCGAAGGGGTTGGCGGCGTTGTAGCTGGCGGCGTTGCCGCCGGCGGCGTCGTCGCTGTGGGGCCCGTCGACGTTGGCAGAGGTGCAGCCGGAGTCGCCAGTGTGGTGCTGTAGTCGCCGAGCTTGTTGCAGCTGGCGGCGCCGAAGGTGCCGTCGAAGGGGGCGGCGTTGTAGCTGTGCTGGCGAGGCCTTCACGGGTGCAGTTCTGCTGCTGAGAATTTCGTGGCGGATCCAGCCGTGGGGACAGGGGACGCATCCTTGTCGACATAGCCCGAAGGGCTAGGTTTGGGGGGCCGCTAAGTGAACCCCTTGGGGGGATACCCATCTGAACGTTCTTTTCAGGGCTAATGCCCGGGTCATGGAGCGCCCAAGGAGGCATATCCTCGAACTCCTTTGGTAGCCGAACTGCCTGTCGAAATGGTAGTCGTGGTAGCTGGCGTAGCCGTGCTGATTGTCGTACTGGATGCCGTGTTGGTGGCCGTACTTGTTGTCGTACTGGACATACTCGTGCCTTGAGGCGGAGTTCAGGATGTTCGTGATAAGGTTGGCGATACATTCCGGCGCCTCTCTCTGTTGAGGTTGCTGGTCTCCTGCATGTTACGCAGGTTGTCGCTGAAGTTGCGGTGGTCGTCAGGCTCCAGCGGCGGGCACGTCGTTTGTGGCGGCCTGCGCCCGACGAGGACCGTTACAATGTCCTTGATATCTGGTGCGAGTCCTGTTCGCACTGCGTATGCGAGTCGGCGCATGGCCGAGACTCCGGGTTGTTATGCCCCTTGTTGAAAGGGGAGGATGACTTCCACGTGCCCGTGGGCCTCCGCGATTGCGGGTAGAGCTCGGCGGCAAGCCGGTGATCTCGTTGCACACGTTGTCCAAAAAGCCTCGAGGACGGTGTTGGCGCTGCCGCTGGGCACCTTGGCCCCGGGCTCCACGCCGTCGGCCATTGCGCGAGGCCGGCGGGCGCCGCACATGGCCGTCCGCCCCCGCCCAGGCCCCCCCCCCGTCGGAAGGGCCGGGGGGGGGGAGCCCCCCCCGCGAGAGGCAGCGGCTGTCCTCCTAATCCTAATCCTCCTCCTCCTCCTCCTCCTCCTCCTCCTCCTCCTCCTCCTCCTCCTCCTCCCCGCCCTGGCCCCGGGAAGGACAGCGGCGCCCCCGCCCCCACAGCCGAGGAAGCGTATCTGTTGTTGCATGGATCTCTCGAGCTCTCCGCTGCCTCGGGCGGCGTGCGTGTTCAGAGCAGGAGCGCGGCAGAGCCACCAGCCCGCGGGAGGGAGCGTGGCATTGACGGTGTGGCTCCACACGCGCGTCGAATGCTCTAGCGAGCGAGAACACCGCACAGCCCCAGGGCAGCGAGGCATCGGCAGTGTAGCTCAGCATCAGCGCAGTTGCCGGGGAGCCCCCGCGACGCGCTCCCGCTTGAGGCGGCGGAGATCTCGAGAGGTCCATTCAACACGGACTCCGCTGGCCCAGACTCATTCATCGCGGGCGGCGATCCCGCGTGGTCGTTGCCACTGCGGCGCCAGTGGGCGGTGGTAATTGGCTTCCGTGAAGTGTTGCGTGGACAGTCGTGGGCGTCTCGGGGCAGGGCCCGAAAACGACTGGACGTAAGAGTGACCTTTCGCCAGAGTGACCTTTGGTGCGGGCACAGATGGGTCCCCAGATGGCTGAAAACGAAGCAGTAGCAGCTGCTTGCGCGCCCAGGTTTGGTCCCCCCGCGGCCCCAAAAAAGTCGCGCACCAAAGGTCACTCTTACCCAGGGTCACTCTTGCGTATAGCCGACGAAATAGCTGTTCGTGCCCCCACCCACTACCTTGTGGAGATCCCCGATCCCTGGCGCGCGGAGCGCGCGTCAGGGGCAGCGCCGGGTGCGCCGCAGGGAGGCTCGGCGCTCAGGGGCGCTCAGCAGGCAGCCTCTCTAGGATCCAAACAACGCCTCCTGGAGGGGTCAGGAGGGGTCGGGAGGGGTTCCCGGGGGAGGGTCGGGGAGTGGGAGCACTTCTGAGGAGGGGTCAGGAGGGGTCACCTTGGGCCCCGTGTGACCTCCCTTGGAGTCGGAGTCACCCCAACATACAGGTACTGCGTGTGCGTCGCCCCCCAGGGGCGACGCGCGCGCCGAGAAGTCTTATAACATAAGCTGCGTGCCAGGCACCTTCTGGCCGTACTGCTCGGGAAACCACCCATCACAAGATGGTTATACTGTATGTTCGGTTCGGATGCGCGCCTCCAAGGCGGACATATAGTAGGTCTCCGGGGGGCCGCTCCTGGGCCCCGGGGGCGGGGGTCTCCCCGTGGGCCACCTTAGGGCAATCTCTGAGGCCTCGACAGCGCCCCGGAAGCGACAAGATGAGAATGCACAAATATCATTCATGCTCCGTAGGTCTTTGAACGAGTTTGGCCTCTTGGTGGGATTGGTCCGGTCCTGAGGGGGCTCCGAGAGCACTTGGAAATGTCTTGTGGCCCTCGTCGGGCCTCTTGGAGGTATGTCGGAAGCCATCTTGAACCATCTTCGGCTATGGCCGCTTTGGAGGCCATTTTCGAGCATCGGATACCCTTTTGGAGCCATCTTGGGGACCCCCATGCCACCATGCGAAGCCTCCCAAAGAACCCGAGGGAGTGGACTGGCAGAGTACCCCTCCTCGAAGGGAATAATGTTTCGGAAGATGAACGAGACGCATCATTAGACCATCTATGCCCACGCGGAACGTGTCCAATTGGACGACAACCGTTGAAGAATCCCCAGCGCGCCGACAAACCGTTCTTGGGACTTCATCGCCGCGGATCAACATGACTGTTTCGTCCTGACAATCTTTCATCGTGCCAGAACGCCATTCTTGGAACATCAACACCGCGAATCAACGTGCCTTCTGCGTCCTGACGCATTTAAATCATGTTAGAACACCTTGGGATTTCCACCATACGAATGCTTGACACGGCTGCGCACGTTTAAGACGAATGTGCGCGGCGCTAGGGCGAGAGCCACATTTTGAAAACCAGCCACCCTTCATCTTTACATCGTTGCATGTTGGAACGACAGCGCGCGGCGCTCAGGTGAGATCAGCAGTTTAATCACCTGTCGACCTCCATCCTCGAAGCTGTTACGAACTCGTTAAGCAAATGTACGCGACGGTATGGCGAGAGCTACACTTTGAGAACCAGCCGGCATCCATCCTTGAAGCTGTTGCGAATTTTGAAGACGAATGTGCGCGGCGGAAAGACGAGAGCCACATTTTGAAGACCAGCCGCCATCCATCTTTGAAGCTGTGGCAATGGTGAAGGTTCAGACACAGAAGTGGTGGGGGAACCTCAGGTCAAACGCCCTGCCCGCCCTGCTGACATAACTGGAGGTGCGACACGGGGTTGCTTACAAGGGAAATGGATAGATGAGGAGGAGGAGGCCGAGGAGGAAGAGGAGGAGGAGGAGGAAGAGGAGGAGGAGGAAGAGGGAGGGAGGGAGGGCGAAAGGAGGGAGGTGGGAAGAGGGAGGAGGGAGCACGAGTCCTCTTCTCCTCTCCTCATCCCCCCCTCCCCCCTCCGCCACCACCTCTCACTCTGTGGCTATGTCCCCCTCCTCCTCCCCTCTCTTTTTTCCTGACGTTGGCCATGCACGACCATCTTGGCGGGACCCCCCCCTCCTCCTCCCCCTCCTCCCGCCCCTCCTGCCCCCTCTCCTCCCGGTGGCCGCCAGGAGGTCCCTGTCCCCGCAGTGCCTCGGGCTGGCGACGATCCTGCCGCACGGGGCCGCGCCCCCCGCCCTCGTCGTGCCTGCAGCCCGACGCGCACCTTCGCGAGCGTTCTGCGCGCCGCGCCGACGGGCCGACGAGGCGGGCGAGACGCCGAAGGAAGGACCACCTCGAGCCCGGGAGGGGGCTCTGGTTCTCGGGTCGCTGCCCGGATCTGGGCCGTGGGAGCCTCTGCGTGGCCGGGGCTCGCCGTGGCTGGAAGAGCCCCCCTCTTTTTGTTCTCGATCCTCAGCTGAGCGACGCAGGAGCATCTGCGTCCTTTGCGCCGGCGTTGACGCACAAGCTGCCCTCGTAAGTTCGCGCGTGAGCGCCCTCTTCTCCAAAGCAGTGTGCCGCGCTGGCGGCCCGCGTAGGCCACCGCGTAAGGCCGCTACGTCATCTTGCGTAGGACCCGTTTCTGATCGTCGGTCATCTATAGCACGATGGCTGTACCCCGTTTCAAAACATGCTGCGTGTTGGCTCAGCGTATTGGCCCACGCCTCGGCGAGTGTGTCGCGTCAGACCTGCGTTTTTCCGTCTACGTGTTGAGCTCCGTAGCGATGCGTTACGTGCTGCGTATTGCGTACCAGGGCAGCCAAGTCTCCTGGCATCGCTCGGACGTGTGCGTTTTTCTCGGCGAGGACCATCTAGGAGCATCCTGGATCATCGAGCAACACAGAAAGGCACGCACGAAGCCGAAACATGCACGGGGAATGGACGTCCAGGCGGCGGCCAGGTCCGGCAGCATTCATTCAGGAGTCGCGCTGTTGTTCGAGGCGTCCGTGCAGTTTGCGTCAGAATCGGGCTCTCGCGTTGGATTTCTTTTTACTTGACTCAGGTATTTTGCGCTCTTCTTTCAGGAGCCGCGCTCTCGCCTCGGACTTCCGTGGAATACTTGATGAGTCGCCCTCAGGCTTGAAACATTTGGGAACGAACTCAAGAGCTGCGCTCCTGCCAGGAACGCCCTCGCAGTATGCTCAGGCATCGCGCTCCGGCAATGCACGAATCGTGCCCTCACCAGGGACATCTTCTCCGCCATCGTTGCTAACCCCCCCCGGCTGACCTGCCCCTCAGGGTCCCCCCGCCCGACTCCGACCCGCCCGTTTGAATGCCTCGTCCGCCCGACCCCACCTGGCAGGGTCCTCCCGATCCCTTGCTTGGAAGCCCGCGCGCCCGCTCGAATGTCCCGCCCGCCCGTCCCGCCCGTTAGGGCCCGGTGCTCTCTGTGGAGGGAGGTCCACCGTCTGGCGTCAGACATAGGATATCACCTAATTCGTCTGACCAAGATACGTTCCCACAACCGTGCCCT